TTTGACGAGGTCCTTATAAAATGTAATAAAACATTGTTCATCTAGGAATTATCGAGAATTATCGAGACTTAAGGCTAGGTAGTAATACTTAAAAGGTTAATACAAAACCTAAACAATGATTTATTGTCTTAGTCTGTAAAATTACAGGTCGATAGGCTTTTAAAAACTGCATATTGTCACGTTTTGTAGGTACATTTTTATTACGAATTCATAACACCTATAACAAGGCGTCTAGTTTCTAGACTTCAATAATAATTCCGCGGTTCGTAAAATATAAAGAAAAATGGAAATTTTTGATTTTACGATTTAATCATAAATGTTATTGTCCAATTACTAGGCATAAAGGAAAATGCATACTATAAAATATTTAAACACAAGTACCTATAAAAATGTTGATTTCATTTTCAAAATTTCACAGTAATAAAATCGTTATAAAATGAATAATTACTAATAAGGATACCTAAGTAAAAGTCAAGTGACCAAGTAAATTTCGTATAGATTATTTCCGGATACAGGTGTGAAATAAAGATGCTTATCGTTGAGTTTCTTAGTTCTTAAATGCAATTAACTTGCCAGAAATACAATTTATGCTTTGATCATTCGGCTCCGATTTTAACACAATGTAATTGCCATTTATTAATACTCAGATAACAAAAGATTAAAACCGAACAAACATCTGATTTATAGGGACATAAATTATTTAATAAAGTTATTAACTCTTTACAATCTTCCCACACCTAGCACTAATAGATTTTTGATTGCAAACGTTTAAAATATAAATTATTGTTGCATCGGATTCACTAACAATTGCAATTGAACATAAAAAGTAAGCTATTGTATACAATAAAGGTGTTAAACATATAAAATATAATTTTATAACAATTAAACTAATTTAATTAAAAATAAAGTCTTGTAAACAAATTCTCTTTTAATGGTTGTAATAGTCAGATAAAAGAAATTATCTTCATTGACCTTGTTAAAGAAAATAAAATTAAACTTAATTTTCTTTCCTGAAAAGGCAACATAAGGAAAGTTAAAAATTTACATACCTTTAACTTTTACTACTTCAAAGGCCATATAATTAGACAAAACATTGGGTTAAGTAAGATTTTAAGTTTTTAATGTTGGGAAAGTGTTTACAAATAAAAACAAAAATAGGTATAGAGTTCTGAATTTAAATAATCTAATGTTTTTAAAACTGAAAGCCGGATAGCCATTAAAATATGTTACAATTTTAATTGAGAGACATGTTAGGCAATCACAACTTTACATGGCTATAAGGAATATTACATGCATCATTACTTATAATAACTTTTGGGTATTTTTGTATACCTATTAAAATAAAGTACCTATATCTGATGCACGCATCTCAAACATGTTTAAAACATATCTTATTTAATGCGGTCATATTGGATTTGGTTTTTATAAAGCTTGTAATTACCACTTTTAAGATCTTCTGCGGTGGTATAAAAAACGATCAAAACTTTTAAAACTTTAGGCGGTTAACAAACTAAAAACTTATAAATGACTTTTCTTTAAAGACGATTGTAAAACTTTTATAAACTCTAATGAACACAGGAAAATTAAAAAGAAAGAAAAAAATTGAACTTTAAAGGAGTATGGAATTTATTTTAATAAACAACGTAGTTAAGATAACTTCTAAGAATAGTAGACAAATAACCTATAAAAACATTATTTATCACTTTTATTGAACCCTACCCATAACCTTAATGCATTCTCGAACATTTGTGCAGCTAATAAAAACCAACACTATTTTCATCTTGAAAGCCCTTGATACAGCTGACTTGGATTAAAACACGCCTTCTCTGATGTATGAAGGTCCATAGCAAAATAAAAATAACTAAAAGACCTGATCGATTGTGTCAGATAGAGAGGGATATAGAAATAAACCTACTGAAAAGGATAGAAAGAAACCACCCCAAATCATTCAAGCCGAAATTCGTTGTGATAAAATGAAAATATAGAATTGCCAAATTTAAAAGCAGGACGGACAAAATTATGATTTACATAACAATACAATTTATTTTAATTTTAGTTACGAAATTTAATTAACATATTTCATTTATATGAAAAATTATTGAAAATTTTATGATAAAAAAATAATAATAAAATACTGGATAATTGAAAAAGTAAGAAAAAACGTTTCTTGGCAAGAAACTCCTATTATTTTTCTATATTCGATTTTTTAAACTGTGCTTGCAAATACAAATGCATGCATGCAGAATGTTCTTATTTTTTTTATTATATATAATATGTTTTTTAAATCCTCGATAATTTACCTAGGTAAAAATAGGGTATAAATAGTTAAAAATATATGGGTGATTCTACAAAAGTTGGACAACTTGATGTCAACAGTCAATAGAGTAGGTATTTTAATATTTTTTGTAAATATTTCATTATATTCCAAAGATCCAGGTTTTTTTAACTTGTCCACCCAATTTTAATGTATTTTTTGAAAAGCACGTTTGTAAAAAAACATAATATATTATTTATAAATATTCAAAACATCAGTACCTTGGCGTGTCACAACTACTGAATCAAATATTTGAGTGATTTTATTTTAAAATATATTCAATTTATATTAAATTTTTCAATTTCACTACAAACTATAAAACATTAAATAATTTTCATATTTTATCATAGATTCGAATAATAGCAATTTTTAAAAAATTGATAATCTTTGTAATTTTACCCGTCAGTTGTTAAAATTCAAAATTCCTGCGAAATATTGAAGTTTAATTGTCAAGTCCTCGTTTTGACTCGTGTTGGTAAAAAATTACCTAAAGAGCCCGCCCTTTGCACGACAGTCATCTTGAAAACAATGCAAGCGGCGAAGTTGTGCTGATTGCACGTATAGTTCCAGTCAAAATTTCAGTACTGTGGGGAGTAGTTATTTTCTTACGTATATACATTTCGTTGTAATTTATATAAGGCTATATGTGATTTGTAGCATCCACAAAATATCAGTAAAATATTTAATTCCGAATTATAATCTCAAATTTGTATCCCATTCATCAGTACCGTGTCGTCAGTTCCATGTTCGATGTTTCGGTTATCTTTTTTTCGCAAACTTCAATTTAAATTCTGCTTGCGCAGAACTTGTTTATTTAATGTCATTATAAACTCATATAAATTTGGTGTGGGTCCCATATCTAATAATTGAGATATCGGTATACCCAAAACCACCAGCCGCCACTGATGTGTGGTATTATTTGATTTTAATATATTTAATGTATAATATTATGCTCAAAGTTGCAATAAATCTTATATTTTCCAATAAATTATGTATTTAATTAGTACCCTGGTCAGAGCTGTCAGAAAAAAGTATCTTAGTTACTTTAGAGTAACTTAGTTACTTTAAAGTATCTAAGTTACTGTATCTTAGTTCCTTTATTTTTTTAACAAAAAGTATCTAGTATCTTAGATACTTTTTAAAAGGAACTGTATCTTGTAACTTAAAAAAAGTATCTTAGATACCGAAAAGTATCTTAGATACCAAAAAGTAACTTAGATACCAAAAAGTAACTTAGATACCAAAAAGTATCTAAGATACCACAAGTTCCTTTAGTCAAGTTGTTCGAAACGGCCGCGGCCATCGAAGTTATTATAATAAGTAAACTGGCGACTTCAGCGACTGGCGCCAATCGACTGGCGGCAATTTTTGTTATACCTACTTAATTTTTATTCACCCATACTTCTTTTATAATCTGTGACTTCGCCACCCGCTCTGTAGAAGGGTGTTTCCGTTCGTTGCGACTTGAATTTATAGTGGTAAGTCTGAAATAAGTTGCACTTGCTTCTTTATGATGTACTGATGTAGGATATTGGTTGTTACATTGTACCGTACATTCTATAATGTTCAATGTATGTTTTCCATTTTAAATTTTAAAAAAATGTTAAAAAAGATTAAATGAAAAGTATAATTTTTTTATTTTTATAATTAAGTGGTGTTTAATTAACGATTTTATCTCTTTTTATTTTTAAGATATTTTAAAAGTGCCTAAGTTAGACACTTTTTGCATTAGACCCTTCAATGGTTTTAATCAACTAGATTTTATTGAAAAAAATTGTTAAAAAAGTAAGCTTAAAATTATTTGAAAAATCAGGGTGGGGTTGGAACGAATTTTTGTTGGGCGGTTTATACGAAACTTATTAGATAATATACAAAGTAACTAAAAAAGTATCTTATTAAGTATCTTAAAAAGTAACTTAAGATAAGTATTTAAGTTCCTTTTTTTAAAGAGTAACTAGATACCCAAAGTAACTTCGGATACTTTTTCAAAAAGTAACTTATCTTGTATCTAGATACTTTTTAAAAGTATCTTTGACAGCTCTGACCCTGGTATACTCGTCACTTCCCTTGTATTCAAATTTAGAAAATACAGATATTTCAGAAACCGTTTGAAAAAGTGACTGGCCCGGTCTGGAACAGTATATTTATTATATTATCTATGTTCTCATAACAAAATACTGTTTAATTTTCTCCGAAAACTATATAAACAAAATGAGGTCAAAAGTTACAACTTGCTATCAAGTTGAGTTAAAAGGTTGTCCTTAAACTAAGATAGAATTTTTTAATCGATCATGCTTAAATTATTTAATCGATTATTCTATATTTTTGAGTGATTTTTTTTTATTTACATCCCATATTTCCTTTTTTCTAATAAGTGAAATATAAATCTTCTTTTAGACCTACTTTACAAGTGCCCATGAGCGTTAATTACGTGTTGACACGTTAGACTTATACAAATATTCATTCAAATTTTCGGACAAAATATTTAAAAAATAATTGTTTAGTAGGATCGTCTAAACCACAGACCTACAGGTCTGTGGTCTAAACACATAAACTAACAATTTTATTATATTATTTTTCATTACGACAAGGCCGCGAAATTCAATTTGCTATTTAATTTTCAATAAGCATAAAACTTAATTGTTTATTTGTTGTGAGAAACGAACATAAAAATTCCCGAGTAAGACGAAAACCATAACCGATAAACGAATGGCGCGCCGCGGCGTCGAAGCTCTAAACAGACGTTCATTACTTCGATAAGGCTTAACGCTCCCCATCGGTCCCGCTTTAATTCCTGCACATCCCCTGCATGCAGCAGGAACAGCGTACGTCTGCTTCAGACCAGTTAGTCATCGGACTTTGTCGGTTTTCATTCTAGTTTCTTGTGTACGCGTTGAATTCTTTTCGAGGAACGTGAATTTCGTATCTGTATGGAGCCGGTTTCGTGAACTTTTGTTTGTTCTTTGAATACAAAACAATGCTGCGGTAAATAACTACCTACATCTAATCTAGGTAGTGTATATATTTTTTGGTGCAATTTGTAGAAAGTATACTTACTTTAAAAAGTAACAGTTAAAAAACTTAAACATTGGGTACATTCATAAAACTATTACTAACTAATTTTCTTTTATTAATCATCTATACAAAAATTAATATTATAATAACTCGAATTTAGTCAAGTGTAACTTGTTTGCTTATTCATAATATATTAGTTATAACTATTATTATAATAAACAAAAGTAATGTTCTTAAAGTTTTGTTGTAAATAATAATGGCCAATTTATATTAATAATTTAATTTCGGTTTATAAGCAAATAAAATGGTTAATTTTTAATTGATAAATATGTGAATTCATGAGTTTTTTTATTTAAATTAATAAAGATTTATTTAAAGTTGCCTGATAAAAAAATATAATGCAAAAAATCATTTAGATGTTAAAAATAAAGGTTACCTATTTTTAAAGTATTTAGTTATGCTACTTAATATAAAGTGATAAATAATTTATTTACGGTTATCTGGAAACCATAAATGTATCTTTAATAGCTTTACCATTAGCATTATAAATAAGACCTATTCCTACTGTTTCTTTAAAGTTTGTTAACAAAATTTAAAAATGCATTTTTATAAAGATAAAATTCAAATTAAAAAAAAATATATACATCATATCCAAAACCAGATAAGTTAACTTAAAATTAAAGAATCAAAAACAATCATTTTTGATATTTTTTAAATATTTTGTTTATATTGTATTGGAATGTTTACAATTTTAATTAGCAAAGTAAAAAATAATGATAGGTTTTAGTTTCTGGTAGTTGAACTAGAATGCGATGTATTAGGTAGGAATCTGAAGAACCAATTAATAAAAACAGTCAATTTTTAGCCCTATCTAAGTAACATGTGCATGTTTATTTAAAAAAAATTAAACTTTGAAACATTTTTATCTTCTCCTGTAATTTTTTTTATTTTGGCGCATACACTCTAAGAAAATATATTGTAATACTCAACAATATTTGTTATGCAAAATATGGTTCATTTAATTATAACTTATGGTTATAATAACATACAAAAAATTAGTTTTCTTATATGTACTGTAATCATTTTGTTATAAAAATTTAGTAAAGTTAGATATTTAAATAGGCTATTACAACCATCATGTACGGCTAAACTGTTAGTACTACACTAGATTATTAAAGTTATATGATTATCTGGTTACAATAACAATATAATGTTGTCACACATTATTAACATATGTCGTTGTAGTTTTTACTATACAGAAAGTTTATACATATCATACGTATAGTATATTTAACCATATAGGGGGTTATAAGGTACTTGTAACCCTACGCATATAATTATTATAACTAAATAAATTATTGTTTTGTGCAACAACTAAAATATAGTTAAAGTGACAATAAAACTGTTACAATATAAACATGGTTAACATAACAGTATATATGACTGACTATGATTCTGCAGAATATTCGATTAATACCATTGTTTTTTATCAATGTAGGTATCGATTTATTTTTATGTATATTTATTTTGAGAAACCCATATTTCTTAAAAAAAACTGATTTTGTAACGGATTTTTATGTCTTCACTTGAATATTGTTCCCCTGGATGTAGCACCAAAATAATAAAAAGGATGAAAATATTTTTTTGCATTGGCAATATTTTCAATACGCCACATTTCTAATTTCTTTAGCAAAGTAATAAACAAAATATCTTAACATTCTCGTAAAGGTAGGTATATCATTTGCGTTTATCAAAATCATGATCCTGCTGTAATTAAAGGATATAAATTCGCGATTTCCAATCATGAGTTCCCTATTAATGTCACTTGAACATATCGTTTGTATTCTGTACATCGAGATTTCCTCACATTATTAATTAATTGCTGCATGTTAACCGTCGCTTCAATCACTTCATTTCACTTTTCATTATATTACCTAAACGTCATGTTTTACAAACAAAAAATACCTATATAAGGAATTACTTTTTTACCAATCACAGTTTAAATTATAATAAATCTTCAATTACCTTTGGTTCCTGACATTTGTGCAATTACTTTTTTAAGCATTAAATTAAAAATAATTATAAATCTTTATTTATTTCTTAAACATTAAAGAAAGCAGTACTTTTAATGATTGTTTTTTGATTAATTTTTACTTCATCTTCATCTTCATCTTTTGTTAGAAAATAATTACTAAATAAAAGAACCTAACAAAAATAGAAATAAAGTAGTAGTACCTAGAGACCATGTTGGTTGAATGGTCTCTAGTAGTAACTACCCCAAAATTTTCCATCATCCTCAGATTATATTTGGTTCAAGGTTTTCAGTAGGTATATTAAGATAAAACTATTAAAAAAATATAGGAAAATACAGGAAAAATGACAAAAGCACGAAATTTTAATTGAAACTACCAATATTACTTTTTTCTACTCCCACCTTTAAAACGCCCATTATCGTACATGTTTTCATGATACTAAGTGACCCTTTAAATACACATTGACAAGTTGTGGCTTTATGGTATTTTAGTCACGGGCTGAAGTTAGTTTTAAGTTATTTGACAGTTGTCAAATGTCATTCAATTGTTAAGTGCCCTTCTTGTAAAATATTACTAAATTTAAATAGCTGTTTGTGTATTAAGAGCGCAAAGTGATACATTGCCGCTTTGAGCGAGTGAATTACACACAGGATTTTTTCTACAACCATAAGAATGTTTGGTAAAAATTAATAATTATTGATAACCTCAAATTTGACGTTAGTGTCAAAAGTCGCAAATTCACTAAACATTTCTTTATTATGTTTTCTATGGTACTATACAGCCCGTTCAGAGTAAAACCGAATATAGGGAAACGTTTTGGGCGTGGCCTCGCCTCCCTCCAAGGCGCGTCACAGTAGCTTGTGTGATAAACGACATGATGAAAGGTCGAGCAGGTAAGACGACTTAAAAAATTAAATGATAATAATGCAAAAAATCTCATTAGCGATGCAGGCTATTTGCTTAGCTACTGTGTCGCGCGTTGGAGGGAGGCGAGGCCAAGCCCCATAGGTTTCCCTATATTCGGTTTTACTCTGAACGGGCTGTATCTATATATAGTAGTTTTCGACTTAAGTATAACATGTAGGTATAAATTATACTTATATTCAACAATTTGAATTAATATTAATTAATATCATTTTACTCTTGTTGCAACAATGTATGCCTTCTTTATAATAATACGTTTTTGACTTGTCATTATTCTTCATCTTGATTTTAATTACCGCACCTTTCTTCAACTGGGTTCTTTAGAAGAAGAACAAGAATATACTGTAATTTGGTGCGATTGTTCTGTTACATAAGATATCCTTTAGCGCAGTAATCAAGCATGACGCAAAAATTCGCAATATACTCTTGAAGTGTTTGAGAATTTTTTATCATAACGTAGCAATTATGTAGTAAGATTTTTCTAAATCCGTAATTTGTATATAATATAGCATGTATAATACTTTACACATTAAAATTTCACCAATTTATCTTGAAAACACTATATTTAAATAACAACCAAAGGGCTTTCATTAAAAAAACGAGTAAAAATAAATTTAATACTAATAAATAACTTTCACAACAACTTAAAGCATTAAAATCATTGCAATTTGAGTAATTTTAATGTCAAATGAATATTTCATGCGTTGTTAGTTTTGAAGTCCTAGTATCTGTAACAATCTTGCCATAATAATAGATAATTAGCGAGCTTATGAGGAAAATGATAAATATTTAAATAATAAATCTTGTATAATGATTTAAAGGAAATTGTAATAATAAATTAAATAGATTTTAGATATATCTAAAGCTATAGCTTTTATATATAACTAAAGGTAAACCCTTCATTTTCGGTTTTATATAACTGTTAATGTTTGTGCATTAAAACATGCATGTTCTCTTACAAATTTGGGCATATGATTTTATTGATTTTTTTTATCTAAATCAATTAATCATTTGTTTGCCAAAGAAAGTGAATAACGCCTACAAAGTATGTGAAAGTACAAAATGGTTATCAGTCTTGTTTTCTACGGCTACTCATGTTGGTATTATTTTTTCTAATAATGATTTATAAATTGTAATTATCAGTATTTATGCAACCTAATTATGTTAAGCTCATGTTAATTATGTTAATATTTATTTTAATTAATGATTTTTTAAATTATTTGACAATACTAAAGCATGTTTTATTTTTTCAGGTAAGCAATCTAAGACCATTCAATATACTTACATAAAAACCAGGTAAATATTTACTCGTTCAGTTAACAAATAAAAATAAATTTTCTTTAAAAAGACACGTGCCCAAAATTGTTAGCACGTTTCATGGTAAGAGAGATTTTATTACAAAAAGCCCAAAGATTAAAGTGATAATTTTAATGTAAGACCTACTATTATTTGTAATTTTATCTGATTTTAAAGATAAAGGTATATATATATATATATATATATACACCAAGTCAACAAAAATCGGAATCATTACAAACCTAATTGGTTGGTCCAAACATGTATGTAACAAAGAAGAAAACCTTAATTTAGAATTGTACAAAATTACAAAGGATCTCACTATGGATGGAAACGACTCATTACAAAAATTCTCCGAACAAAAAATAAATTTATTTTAAGATGTACCAGTTAAAGAAGAACTATCTTCAAGGGACACTCTTAAGAAATAAAAATTTCGGAGAAAATCAAAAATATGGCAAGGCGTCTTAGAATAAAGCAGTTTTCACCTCGAAAAACACATTTAGAAGCTCTTTGACAAAACCGACACCAAAAACATCATTTATTGCATTCCTTGCAAATGTGGACAAGTGTATGTGGTATGAACATAAAACAAATACAATAAAAGGATAAACTGCTTAGCAGAACATGCATGGAAAGATCATCACAACATGGATAAATTAAAAAATCCAACAACTTATTACATGATACCCTGTATATCAATAAAAACAACAATAACCTAGGCAGAAGATCCGAAATATTTTA